CGCGTGAATATAAAGCAGAGAATGAAGATCTTTCGCGTGTGGACGTGGTTTCACGCGGATGACTTTTGCTTTTGTTGACTAAAGGAGCTTGATTTGGATTTAGGTCTATCAATATATGCCCACCTCAACTAGTTGCCAATGATCTCCATCGTGTTCAAATATGAATCTTTTGAAATTTCAATCTTAGCTGTCCAGTGATCAAATCATGAGGTCAAAAATGACATCAAGGTTTTCCACCGGTGATATGCCATCAATAATTTAGAGAGATTAAAATTTTAAATTAAATGTACAAATTAAATGATGTATTATCAATAAAAAATAAACACGTTAATCAATACTTAATTAATTATCTAATCATTTACAACCACATTATTTAATTTAAAAATTTTAATCTCAGCATTACCTATAATCTAATAATGTGAACAACTAAAGACGTCGCTGTATCCTTGAAATTCTCGTACTCGTACATAAATTGATTAGCACATGAAAAATTCTTTAGTAGGGGCAATCATGATATGTCATCATTTTAAGAAATAAATACTCTCATAAAATCAAGAACCACATAACCAAGCATGCCATATGATAAATTTCTATTAGATGAGCACGTGATTCACTTTATTTTTTATTTTTTTGAACAAAGTGATTCACTTTTTAAACATATGTGCATATGTACAAGTAATATGTATCGATTGCAAGAGAGAATTCTCGCAATGGATCGACACATGTATCTTTGGATTTGGGGAGGGTTGATGCGGCATGGCCGCTGCCCCAAACTACCATTACTATACCGAAAATTAGGGGTGGAAAAAATTCCCGAAAATCCCGAACCGAACCGAAAAAATCCCAATCCCAAACCAAAAATTTCCCAAACCGAAATTCCCGAAATTTTCGGGATGCTATCCCAAATCGATCCCAAAATTTCGGTATAGGATTCGGGATTGGCTTCTCGATATTTCGGGAATCCCATACCGAACCGAAAATATATAATATTAATTATTATATATATATTTATACATATATATATTATTCTTTTATAATTGATGCTAGTAGTTTCTAATTCATGCTCTGCAACCTGGAATGCCCTACACCTTGCATATTTTTCTTGTTCTGTTTGATATTCATGTGGATTTTATTATTGCTGCTGCCATGGCTGATTATTTCAGAAGGCTTGATTCTTTTGTCTCTCAACAGATTGCAAAAAGGGTTTAATTAATTTGAATTTTGACTATGATAAAAACAGTCAGGCATGCCAGTGTTCAATTAAATGGTAGTGTGAATTAAATGAAATTCCTAGTTCATGAATGTGTTCTTGAATTATATATTTGAAGAACAATTCATAATTTCATATTTCAATTTGGGATTCCCGATTTGTCCCAAAATCCCGAAAATATTTCGGGATTCCCGAAATTTGGGATTCCCGAAAATTTGGTTTGGGATTGGTCTTCAAATTCCCGTCCTGAAAAATTTTGGTTTGGGATTCGGGATATTAGTTTCGGTATGGTATCCCATACCGAACCACCCCTACCGAAAATTACACACAACAGCCAACTGGGATTTTGATGAAACAAATTCACATATCCAAATTCCAACCAGATGAACCAAGAACACAATAGGCAGTAAACCTTGATAAAATGATAATTTACATTAATAATTGCATTAGCACAAAGAACATACATAGAAGAAGCATAAGTTCTTACAGTGATTTGATGTTAATTATCCTAAACAATATCAGTTCTTACAATGATTTGATTATCCTAAACACCAGCCGGATGCTGTCGTTCACCATGTTAAATCACCATCTTAAGATTTTAGAGTATTTACATTATTTTTCTAGAAATTCTAATATATGAGTAATGCTAAGTATACTAATATTTTAGACCATATTTGCAAACCATGTAATGTTCATTAATAGAAAATAAGCAAGTTAATAACAATTAAGTAATAATTCAATCATTAAACAACCACATCATATAGTTTATAAAATATTATTTAAATATGTGATATTCCTACCATTATTAATTTTATATTTATTCAATTAATAAATGTTGAGATTTCTCGATTCCTATTGAATTTAAAATTACTTATGAGTTCTACCTTAGGCATTTCGTTCGACTTCTCTGTTACTATATCAATACATACATCGAGATGTATGATATGATGGCGATCAATTGATCCCTTGCCTTGAGTACACAAATCCTTCCTTTCTTCCCAACCCCAACATTATTGATTCCCGAACACAATCGTGACACCCAAACTACTACATTTAACAGTTTTCAACAAAAAATATTTGGTCACGCAAAGAGAAATTTCGTCGCATAAATGTTGAAGAGATGCAATATTGGTTGCGCATAATTCGTTGCGCAAAGGTCGTGAAAAAAATACCTAAATATAGGATTCATTAGAACCTGCCCCACGAACTTGCTAAAACACAATGGTGCCACCCATAACATGATTGATGTGGGATTGGGTCCTATAGCCATATAAAGGATTCATTAGAACCTTCCTCATGAAAACTAAACAACTCATCTCATTACAGCAATTACAAGCAAAGCAGTGTTGGAAAAATACTCTACCTTAGAAAATGGAGATTTGCAAATCCAAACAAATTCTAAACAAGATATTACTGAAAGTACTGTAGTGATCAACTTGCAAACCTAATGACATATGTAGAATCTGTATACTCGTTCCGTGAATGCCGATCATCTACAATTACTTAAGAGGTTTTTTTTTATCCGATGACTTTCGTTAACATTGAAGAACACATACGTATTTAATTTGAGCCTTCTTAGACCAACTTCAATGATGGGCTAAAAACCAAATTACCCCTCAAATTTTTCCTCCAAACCCACTCCAACCCAAGGGGAAAATTTGGACTAAATGCTAAATGCTAAACCAAGGTCAAATTCCCCCCAAAATTTAGCCCAGAAATCGAAGTGGACTTTACCCAATATTTATCGGAATTTAAATTTTTTTCGATTAAAATGTTCATAAAATTAATTTACGATAGTCTACATATTTATTTTTTAAAAAAAAATTTAATTTAACAAAAAAATAGCCTAAGTTCATTCTTTAATGATCCCGGGTTCAAATTTTAGGGTAGAACAGTTGGAGTAGAAAAACTGTTTTTAAGCTAAAAGTTAATTTTTCAGATTAAAATATTTGACTTTTAGCCCTTGAAGATAGATTATATATACACTTTTGACGTACCGATGAGTTTATTTTTTTGTATAAATATCTCTAATTTTCAGTTCAATCATTTCACTTTATTAAAGTCGGGTCTCCATTATGTGCAAAGTTGTCGAGGTGGATTTAAACTTATGTGGTCTTTTTTCGCCATGTAATGTCATCATGACTCTAGAAAAGGTGTCAGTCTCAGCAAATTAAGTTCACAGCTGTAAAGTGGCATCAATTATAAGGGGTCTTATCATCTGATATGTTTCTCTCATCTCCTTATCCACATTTTCTTAATTATTTGAGAAAAAAGTTTGTGCGGATTCAAGAGCAAAGTAACTGGTTTTTCATTTCCCATTTTGTTAATAATTCTGATTTTTATTTTAACACTGTATTAAATACTTTACTAGATGAATTCAATTTATTTTATTCTAAATCCGTTTGACTTAATCTTTAAACTAATATAATATAAGATGTTTCAGTTCAACAAACACACTATAAAATATTAAATGTTGGAAGGATGATGAAACTACAGCTTATCCATTATACCCGAATGTTGATGTCCATCTAAAATTATTGGAGGGAAATTGAGGACGGCAGGGTCAGGGAGATTGTGGGGACAACGTGTGAGAGGCTCATGTTCGATTGGAATAGAATCGGACGTTATGTTGGTGGGGTTGAAGATTAGGGAGGCGTACCTGGGCATGATAGAATTTTGGTGTCGGTGGAAGTGCTCAAGATGGCCTTGGATGCGCAGCAAGTTATCCGTCGTCTCACTTGTTAGGAGGAAGATTTCGGTAGGTAGAGCCGTTGCTCATGAACTTGCCCATGCTGCTCTAAAGGAGAATTTTAGTTGTTACGTTAATTCATCATGATATTTATGTATTCAACCGGCATTTCAAAAAGAACAACGTCACAAATTCAACTTTACTGTTTTGTTGTGATGTACGAGCTTTTTAGGCTGACTTCTACCGTTTATTAGCATCTTCAGATTTTAGGATATTTTTAGTAATTTACTAGAAAATCTAAGTGAGAGTTGTCATCTTCTATATGAGTATGCTAGCTAAATTAAAAATTTAAAGCACATTGGCCAACCATGTGATATGTCATCAATATATAAAAAATACGCACATTATTTATCTAATAACTCTAGTCAGCACCGAGGAGCGCATACGAATATAATTTGAATCTCTTCGTGTATGCATTGTACAAATGAACTTACTATATATATATATATATATATATATTTAATTTTGAAGAAATTATAACAATGATCTCTCAACTTTAATTCAATTGGAGTAATGATCTCTCAACTAAAAATTCAGGACCATTAAACCCTTAACATATCAAAACGTGCAGCTATAGTCATTTTCGTCAACACCATTAAAACTTCTGTCAAAACGAGTCACGTGCTATGCAAATGAAACTGAATTAAGCGGCAAATATGAAAAACCAAATGAGAAAAACTATAGCAACCTCAACTTTAACCCAATTAAAGAAATAGTTCATCAACTTTAACCCAATTAAAGTAATGGTTTCTCAACTTTAACCTAAGTATACCAACCGTTATTCCAACATGACTCATTTTGACAGAATTCTAACGAAATTGACGAAAATAATCATAGTTGCACATCTTGATGAGTTAAGGGACTAATGATAATTGATTTTTAATTAAAAGATTATTGCTTAAATTAAATTAAAATTAAAAGAACATTACTATAATTTTTTCTTAATTTTCTGTTCAATCCTCATTACTTTATTAAAATCGGTTCTCCACTTGTCCAATGAGATCTTTCCTGATAAGATGGGTTTATATTTATGTCTGCTCTATTGCTGGACCGCACTCCACTCTTTGAACATAAAGTTTCACGAGGGCTCCTATCATCTGATGTGCTTCTGTCGTCTTCTTATACCATATTTTCTTGAATTATTGTTAAACCATTCATTCAACTTACTCGCTCTTCTTGCGTCCTTCCTTGGCTCTCTCTCCATTCTCTGCATTCCTCTCTCTAATCTCCCTTAATTGCGCGAGTATGGATCCTGCCAAGGTGTTAGAAACTCTATACACTTTTCCGGTGGAGCGAATACTAAATTCGGTCGCTTCACTTGCTGCTCAAGAAATCAGTCTTTTCCGAGGATTCAAAAAAGAGCTAACTAAGCTTCGTCAATCGGTATTTGCAATTCAAGACTTCTTAGGCGATGTTTCGTTCCAGCCACGTCAAAGGGGCAAGGAGGTGGAGGACTGGGTGAAGAGACTGAAAGAGGTAGCTCTTGATGCTGATGATGTATTGGAGGACATCAACTACGAAGTTCTCAGGCGTAAAGTAGAAATTCAAAACCACATGAAGAGGAAGGTACTTAACTTCTTTTCGCTCTCCAATCCCATTTTATTTCGTCAAAAGATGGCCCACAAGATTAAGAACATCAATGCGTCACTGGCGAAACTCAAAAGCGATGCAGCTTCCGTCGGCTTAATGGAAAGGAGAGTAGATCAAAACCCTCCAGGTATGGGGAACAGAGAAACCGTCTCATTCTTCGGTCGCGATGAGAAGCCCATCGGAAGGAAGAAGATTGTGTCGGATATCATTGCAGCCTTGATCGAGTCCAAGAATCAGGAAGAGTACCTTTCAGTTAAGGCCATTGTGGGAATGGGAGGACTCGGCAAGACGACTTTGGCAAGATCAATATTCAATGATGATGCTATCGGTAGACATTTTGAGAAAAAAATGTGGGTTTGTGTGTCTGACCCTTTTGATGTTAACTCGATTCTAAATCGGATGTTAGAATCCCTTAACTCAAACAGGACAGGACTTATAGCTCGGGAAGCATTGCTGACTGACCTCAAAAAAGGGTTGACAGGGAAGAGGTATATTCTAATACTCGATGATGTTTGGAACGAAGATGACGAGTTATGGAGTGATTTTACGAGTTGTTTGTCGAGACTCAATTCTGCTCCCGGAAGCATTGCCATTGTTACTACCCGCATTGGTAAAGTTGCATCAATCACAGAGACAATGCCAAGGTGTGATATGGAGAGCCTATCAGTAGATGATTGTTGGTCCATATTAAAGAGTGAAGCATTCCCAAATGGTGCTTTTCCTTTAGATCCAACTCAAGAGAACATTGGAAGGGCCATAGCTGCAAAGTGTGTTGGTGTACCATTGGTGGCAAAGGTATGCATCCATATATTATCATATTCACCCTTGCTGTTTTGTATTTTGCTTTCTATTTTAATATATAACATAGACATAGAAATAGAGGGACGTGCGGGGGATTTTTAGGTGTAATAGGTGAGGTTAGATGACCTGCATGCGGTCACTAACAAACCAATTTTACTAGAAAAGAGAGATAATGGACTATGACCAATAAAAAAATTGAATAATACTTGAATTTCCTCCTTGGGAGATGTGCTCAATTCCACATTTGCAAATAAATTTACGAAATACAATTTAATATTACTATTATTTGAATGTTACGAAAAATAATTTACCTATTGTTTAAATTTTGTGAAGATGATGTATCTACTATTTTTTGTTTAATAAATTTTAATTTACCTATTGTTCATTTCTTATAAAAATAATTTACCTATTGTTAAGTTTCACAAAACAATGTATATTCAACTATAATTTACCTACTATTTAATCTCGGGTTAAGTACAAAAATCTACCTAATCTTTAGGGTTGATTTAAAATTGGTCCTAACTTTTTAAAATATTCCAAATAAATACCTAAGGTTTTGAAAAGTAGACATCCATTAGGTCATTGACACTATGTTGTAAAGTGATAGGGACAACAAATCAATTGAAGTGCATGTTCGAATTTTTACTATCACGTCATCTATGGAGTTCTAAATCATCAAAGCTACACCTTTTATCCAAGCATGCCCTTCAGTTTATTTGTGCATATCACTGACACTCTAATGACCTAACAAATGTCCAACTTTTAAAACATTAGTAATTATTTGGAATATTTAAAAAAGTTGAAACCAATTTAGAATTACCTCTAAAAATTAGGTGGTTCTACGTACTTAACCCTTTAATTTAATGAAGATGATGCATCTACTATTTCTTGTCCATGGATATTACTTTATCTATTGTTTATATTTTATAAAAAAAAATTACCTTTTTTTTGTTTTTTTATGAAAATAATTTACCAATTGTTTTTTTTTTTTTTACGAATATAATGTGTGACAACCCGTTCCAAATTTTACGTTTTTATTTTATTTTAAAAGCGTAAATTTACGAAATTGCCCTAGAGGCAAGGACTTTGACTTCCGTTGACCATCAACTTGAGAGATGTGGGACTTATTCTTTTAGCATATCCTCGTAGTACTCATTGGTACAAACGCATAGGCGAAAGCCGTTTGCGAGTCCGGATTATAATGGTATAGTTACAGACGTTCGAAATTGGTTATTCAAGGTTTAGTGTTTATTTAAATTAAATCCCCACTTTGTGGGGGAAGCCCAATCAGAAATGGAGGAAAGAAAGAAAAAAAGGGGAAAAGGAAGTGGCTTCCTGTCCACCCGCACCCACCGTGAGTCCATTTTCCAAGGCCGATTTTGGCCAACTCCGGTGGAGTTTTTCGATGCCACCATCACCATCTTGAAGCTCTCATTCCCCCCTACAAAACCCACCCAAGAACCACCTTGATTAACCATGGTATGTGGCGGTTTGAGGCCACGAAAATTGACGAAAATCAATAATGCTCTGGCCACCCTTTTCGATTTTTGGGCAAATCGGCGAAGCGATGGCTAATGCCACCACTTGGGCTTTGTAGCCCATCATCCCAGGAGCAAAACCCAACCAACCTTGACCCCGTTGGACCACCGTAGACGACGAATCGACATCGGGAAGTTTTAGGCACCCGCTGGCTTTGTGGGCAAAATTGACCATCTTCCGTCCACTTTTGGACTTCGTGGCAGGTATGAAAGTTGCTCCATTCACTGAAATCTTCATTTCTGTGAAGTTTGAGAATTTTTTGAAATAGTTGGATTTTCCGGCGAGTCGGGGCGGCCGACTGCCATCCGCGGCGGCGCGTGGCCAGTGGGCCGCCAATGCTATTTTTAGGCTATGTCGAATGTCTTGAATTAAGTTTTGTCATTTGAATGACGTAGGTTGATCGTTGGAACCTAAATTCGTTACGATACGTTACTTGATAAAAATGTGAATCGATGATTCGACCGTTGGATCGTTACCAAAATTGGATACATTATAATACGTAATATTTAAAGATCATAGGAATTTATGGATCGGAGATCCAACTTACGGATCTTCCTGAATTGGATTTATAATTTAGTAAAATAAATGTTCATGGCCACTTGTTTTAGGCAATTGGCAGAGATCTGACCGTTGGATTGTAATGAAATTTTAATATGTTATTCTAGAAGCATATTGTGGATCGTTGGGAGTTGCGGATTGGAAATCTGATATGCGAATCTTCCGGGTCAAGTTATACAGGGTTGTAAACCCTATCGTCGATCTTTGATTGACTGTTGACTTGTGGTCAATGGGTCTCAAACTATTTTAGAATGTCGTTGAGGTTGTGTTTTATGTGAATTACGTATTCTTCGGATAAGAGTTCTGAGATGTGATTTGATAATTGGTCACAAGGACCAATCATTCAGGACGCCTCGATGTGTGCGCTAGAGAATCATAGCGTGGACTCCAGGTGAGTGGATCTTTTCCTTTTTATCGTACATATTGTTGAGAGTTCTATCGACACTTTTAAATTGATTAGGTATATTACCTTCATATAATTATTATGAATGCTTGAAGTACCTATATGAACTACGAATGGTTTGATCCCTGTTTAGGGTATGTAGGCAGTCTAACGAGACGTTAGATGCAACCATAAAATATTTGAGACAAAAGCCTTGCTTGGGAAATTGAGTAATGCGAAGGAAATTGGTAAAGGCAAGTTTTAGTTTTATGAATTAATTAGTTAAATTAGTGTTAATTGGGTTGTCATGGATAATTATCCCTGAAAATAAGTAGTTGGGAGTAGGGCGTTATTGATTTTACACTTCTCACCATATTGTTTATAATTGAAAATGTTACGACATGGTTGAGTATTAGATTGCATCATGATATATCATATGTATATTACTTGCATATAATTATTGGGAATGCTTTCAAGTGCAAAGGTGAACTCAGGACACCTAGGTAAGTTCAGGTGAGTTTATGGTATTAGTTGAATCGATTGAGTTATAGCATGACTACAGTTATGTGTTAGGCAACTTCGATACTGTCGTACTGATTGCCATGAGTTGCACATGTTATATTGAGATGCATTGAGAGCTCATAAACCTGCACCCTGGTGTTAGTGCTCCCGCCCGTGGCCAGGGCACAGTCCTTCACGTGATGTTTACCTCCCGCACCTTATGCTCACCTTGGATCCAAGATAGGTGCACAGTCCTGTCGTACAGACCACTTTAGGTGGTTCCGACTCGTAGGTGACCTGCGATTATTCGCACAGTCTTCACGTGATCGTAGCACTTGAGCGTATTTATTTACACCCAGTCCTGTCGTACAGACCACTTTAGGTGGTTCCGACTCATGTGTATGTATACTTATTGAGCTATTTGCTAGCCATGATTGATGAGATATGGATAAATCGTACAGGTCACTATAGGTGACTCCGACTTATATGCTAGCCAGGATTGATGAGATATGGATACGTCGTACAAGTCACTATAGGTGATTCCGACTTATATACTAGCCAGGATTGATGAGATATGGATAAGTCGTATAGGTCATTATAGGTGACTCCGACTTATATGCTAGTCATGATTGATGAGATATGGATAAGTTGTAAATGTCATTTTAGATGACTCTGACTGATATATCACTTTGTATTGATTAAATTCATTTGGCCTACTTATTAATGTATGGTAGAGTTGATGACAAACCGTGGTTTTAGTCATTTCTGAGTATGGTTTGGATATATGTATATATGTTGTACTGTCCTATAGAAAACGATAAGGGAATTACAGTGAGGGGTTATTACTGTTAGAAAGGTAATAGTTTTGGGAAGCTTGGTTGTACTGCTTACTTACACTTTCTGTTTTGTACCCCTTCAGGTTTTAACTGCTGAGTTCGTATCGACGAGGATATATAGCTAATCTTAGTATTGGTGGCTACTTTTAAGGGTATGATTCTTACCCACACTACTGTACCTTACTTATGTTCTGACATCGCGCGTGAAATGGATTCGCTCCCACTCGTAGCGCACTCTGGTACTTAGACACTTTTAGATTCAAATTTATTCACTTTTTATACACCATCACATTTTATGGCTTCGTCACCTTCCAGGTGTCAGCCAGCACAGCTCGATTCAGGGTCCACGTGGACTTTCTGGGTCGGGGTGTGTCATAATGTTTCTGCAATTTTATTTTTACACATATAATCTACGTATTCTTTAATTTTTTGTGAAAAAAATGAACCTATTGTTTTTTAAAAAATAATTTATGGATTGTTTTATGTTTACGAAATTAGACGGATAGATATAACTAACAAAACAGTATGAGGACTGATAGATAGATTTTTAATGCGCTATCAAGTTAAAATTGAATAACGGTAGACTAATAATATGTGTGTGGTAGAGAAATGTTTATAGAATGTTGTGGCACCACCCTATTAAGTGGTGAGTGTTACCATCTTTTTTCGTCACATGATCATGACTAAACAATAATTAATTAGTTTATTTTTTTATACATATAAAATAATAACTTAATAAGTAAATTACAATTCCTTCCAAATTTGTTCCCATCAAATCTTGAGATCTATGTCCATGGGCTCGGGTCCTCTTCGGAACCTTCACCTCGGACCAATTTGTTCGTGGCCGTTAGATGATATCCTACAGCTAGTAACTAATTTTCTTTAATAGTTTTCACATGAAAATTTCTCGTAATTTGCCCGTAATCTTTAATAGTTTTTTAGTTTTCAAAAAACTGTAATTGATCGTAATTTGCCCATTAGATTATCATTTCAATTTTTAAAAAATTAGATATTAAAAACAAAATAAGTAATCTTCAAAGATCTCTAAAGAAAACTTTATTTTGAGCTTTTTTGGAATTTTCAAGAACAAGCACTGAGCAGAGCCTGTTTGAGGACAATGGAATATCCTACAATGGTCTTTAGGTTTATGGTACTATTAAAAGGTGGCAGCCCTCAATTATCATTAAGTTGTCGACTTGTATGTGATGTAAAAACAATATAATAAAAACTAATCCAATAATTTTATGGTTAGAAGAATCAATTTTGTTTGTATTTTTAATTCATAATTTTTGAAAAATAAAATTAATGAAAAAGACTTGAAAACTTTGAGTTTTAACAATATTAACAAAATAAAAGATAAATTGAATAATATCAAGATTGATTTTTTAACGTAAAAATATAATTTTTTTATAAAATAAACTGTACTATAAACTTTTTGTTAAAACTTCATTTTTGAAATTTGAATGAACTAGACATTGACTGAGGTTGTTGTACACTTGCATCATTTTGCTCATGACAATTTCCATAATTTGTTTAGAATATCATTTTGCAAAAAGGCGAACAAGTTCACTGTGTTAAGGACAATAGTCTTCACTCACTCTTTAGGCAAACTCACAGCTGAAACTAAACATACTGAATGGAGCTTTAAATTTACCGTAAAACCAGTGCGATTGTTAATATTTTGGTGGTTCTTAGAGATAACTCTCAATACACAACATAAGCCAAATTTGGACCTTCCTTTAACTAAATTGGAATGATCTATAAAAACAACTATTTGACCCAAACAGTGCAATAATTTCAGTTTAGCAAATTTGTTGCTTCCAAATCATAATTTTAAACCATAAGAAAACTCCTTTCCATAACTAATTGCAACCTGCATAACTCAATGGTAGTTTGATTGCAAAAGCTACCACATTTTCTTGCTACGTTTAGGTTTACCTTAGTCAGTGAAAAAGGCAGAAAGATGAGTGTAAAATTACTAGTCAATGCAATGTATGATATAACTTTTTAGTTTGATTGTAAAAAAGATCATATTTTATGCGAAAAGATAGTGCTATTTCCATCCTTATTTTTACCTTCTACACATTTTTATTAATTTTTTATAATCTATCTTCTTTAATTTATTAAAAATTAAAAAAGACAGACGAGAAGCAAAAATAAATTTATTGAAAACTAAGAGGGATTTGTGATTGAAATCATGATGGAAGATGAAGTGATAGGATGAGATAGGGTTGAATAGTCACCAGTACTAAGCCCTGACAAAAATCCATGGAAGACCAATACATGTTGGGAACAGATCCCCTCCCAAGGAGCTTAAGAGCAACTCCACCGTGGTGGATTGCTCGGGGGACAAGCCAAAGAAAAGGGCCCGAGGCCCTGTGAATTCGCACTAGCGTGAAAGAGCTCGAGTGGAGGTGGAGGCCTGAGCTTCGGGCTTGTGAAGAATTGCCAGCCCGAGTGGATGTGACGTCAGGGTTGACGTCAAGCTCTTTTTTTATTTTTTTTCTGTCAGGCGCATGCACCCCACTCGTGCCTGGGGGCACATCACCTAACATAATTTCAGAAAAAGCAGCTAACTTTTCTTATTGAAATGTTACCGTTGGGAAGCCACGTGGCTTCCCACAATCAGTTTGATCTCAACGGCTCTTTAACTTAGACTGTTTGATCTCAACGGTAAAAAAAATAAAAAAAATCTTATTTAATATCAACCGTTCGATCTGAGATCGACAGTCGATATTAATATTCTTTATAAATAAATAAATAAAAGAAAAAATAGTTTTAAAATTAAGAAAAGTTACCATTGTGACATGTGGCACAATCTGTAGTGTTGGAATTCAAATTTTTTTTATATCCAACAGCGGATATTAATTAGTTGAATAAAAATTTTAAAAAAATTGTAACAAATCTGAAAAAAAAATCTGAAATTTTTTTAAAAAAAATTGTTTTTACTTTTCTATAAAACCTTCTCATTATCATCTACCTTACACCATAATTTCATATTTTCTCAACTACTTTCAATCACATTCCTATCTTTCTCTCAAAGTTTCAATCCAATTTTTTTCAACAAAATGACTACTGATGCAGGTGGTGCAACGAGAACGATTAAAAATCTTATCCGAAATTACAAATAAAATTATTTTGTATTATTTAATAATTTTTCCGATAATGACATGTGGCGCAACGAGAACGATTAAAAATCTTATCCGAAATTACAATTAAAATTATTTTGTATTATTTTATAAATAAAAAAATACTAATATTTTATTGCCTATTGCCAGGGCTATTGGTGCAATGATGGAGATGCAAAAAGCGAATACTGTTCATTGGGACAGTTAATGTTCGCTGGGTGGATAGCATAGTGTATTGCTTGGGGGAGGTTTCACACGGTGGAGTTGCTCTAAAAGGCTGAGCCTCCTGAGCAAATCATATGGACTGTTGGATTTTGATTCAACAGTTACAAAAAAAAGATTTCTCTAAAAATTATAATAATTGTAATCGCTTAATCAAAATTCAATAGTTTGTGTAATTTGCTTAGGAGGCTCAGCCTCTTAAATTCAGGAGGAGATCCATTCCATATACGTTTGACTACTCAAAACAATTTCAAGTCAATAAATGAAGCACCGCGTGAATTTAAAGCAGAGAATGAAGATCTTTCGCGTGTGGACGTCGTTGCACGCGGATGACTTTTGCTTTTGTTGACTAAAGGAGCTTGATTTGGATTTAGGTCTATCAATATATGCCCACCACAACTAGTTGCCAATCCATCGTGTTCAAATATGAATCTTTTGAAATTTCAATCTTAGCTATCCAATGATCAGATCATGACATCAAAGTTTTCCACCGGTGATATGTTATCAATAATTTAGAGAGATTAAAGTTTTAAATTAAATTTACAAATTAAATAATATATCATCAATAAAAAATAAACACGTTAATCGATATTTAATCAATTATCTAATCATTTATAACTACATCATTTAATTTAAAAAATTTAATCTCAGCATTACCTATAATCTAATAATGTGAATAACTAAGGACGTCGGTGTATCCTTGAAATTCTCGTACTCATACGTAAATTGATTAGCACATGAAAAATTCTTTAGTAGGGGCAATCATGATATGTCATCATTTTAAGAAATAAATACTCTCATATAATCAAGAACTATATAACCAAGCATGCCATATGATAAATTTTTATTAGATGAGCACATGATTCACTTTATTTTATATTTTTTTGAACAAAGTGATTCATTTTTTAAATATATGTGCATATGTACAAGTAACATGTATCGAATGCAAGAGAGAATTCCCGCAATGGATCGACATATGTATCTTTGGATTTGGGGACGGTTGATGCGGCATGGCAGCTGCCCCATACTACCATTACTATACCGAAAATTACACACAACAGCCAACTGGGATTTTGATGAAACAAATTCACATATCCAAATTCCAACCAGATGAACCAAGAACACAATACGCGGTAAACCTTGATAAAATGATAATTTACATTAATAATCGCATTAGCACAAAGAAGAACATACATAGAAGAAGCATAAGTTCTTACAGTGATTTGATGTTAAGTATCCTAAACAATATCAGTTCTTACAATGATTTGATTATCCTACAATGGTCTTTAGGTTTATGGTACTATTAAAAGGTGGCAGCCCTCAATTATCATTAAGTTGTTGACTTGTATGTGATATAGAAACAATATAATAAAAACTAATCCAATAATTTTATGGTTAGAAGAATCAATTTTGTTTGTATTTTTAATTCATAATTTTTGAAAAATAAAATTAATGAAAATAACTTGAAAACTTTGAGTTTTAACGATATAAACAAAATAAAAGATAAAGTGAATAATATCAAGATTGATTTTTTAATGTAAAAATATAATTTTTTTTATAAAATAAACTGTACTATAGACTTTTTGTTAAAACTTCATTTTTGAAATTTGAATGAACTAGACATTGACTGAGGTTGTTGTGCACTTGCATCATTTTGCTCATGACAATTTCCATAATTTGTTTAGAATATCATGAATAGCAAAAAGGCGAACAAGTTCACTGTGTTAAGGACAATAGTCTTCACTCACCCTTAGGCGAACTCACAGCTGAAACTAAACATACTGAGTGGAACTTTAAATTTACCGTAAAACCGGTGCCATTGTTAATATTTTGGTGGTTCTTAGAGACAACTCTCAATACACAACATAAGCCAAATTTGGACCTTCCTTTAACTAAATTGGAATGATCTATAAAAACAACTATTTGACCCAAACAGCGCAATAATTTCAATTTAGCAAATTTGTTGCTTCCAAATCATAATTTTAAACCATAAGAAAACTCCTTTCCATAACTAATTGCAACCTGCATAACTCAATGGTAGTTTGATTGCAAAAGCTACCACATTTTCTTGCTACGTTTAGGTTTACCTTAGTCAGTGAAAAAGGCAGAAAGATGAGTGTAAAATCACTAGTCAATGCAATGTATGATATAACTTTTTAGTTTGATTGTAAAAAAGATCATATTTTATGCGAAAAGATAGTGTTATTTCCATCCTTATTTTTACTGTGACATCCCACATTGCCCAGGGGTGATCCTTAAATGTATATTCTCATCCTACCTAGCGCGAGGCCTTTTGGGAGCTCACTGGCTTCGGGTTCCATGGGAACTCCGAAGTTAAGCGAGTAGTGCACGAGAGTACTCCTAGGATGGGTGACCCATCGGGAAGTTCTCGTGTGAGTTCCCAGAAACAAAACCGTGAGGGCGTGGTCGAGGCCCAAAGCGGACAATATCGTGCTACGGTGGTAGAGCGGGCCCGGGAAGTGGTCTCGCCCGGGTCGGGATGTGACATTGGTATCAGAGCCTAACCCTGGTCGCGAGTGTGACGACGAGGACGTCGGGCCCCTAAGGGGGGTGGATTGTGACATCCCACATTGCCCAGGGGTGATCCTTAAATGTATATTCCCATCATACCTAGCGCGAGGCCTTTTGGGAGCTCACTGGCTTCGGGTTCCATGGGAACTCCGAAGTTAAGCGAGTAGTGCACGAGAGCACTCCTAGGATGGGTGACCCATCGGGAAGTTCTCGTGTGAGTTCCCAGAAACAAAACCCAGCGCGAGGCCTTTTGGGAGCTCACTGGCTTCGGGTTCCATGGGAACTCCGAAGTTAAGCGAGTAGTGCACGAGAGCACTCCTAGGATGGGTGACCCATCGGGAAGTTCTCGTGTGAGTTCCCAGAAACAAAACCCACGCCCTCACGGTTTTGTTTCTGGGAACTCACACGAGAACTTCCCGATGGGTCACCCATCCTAGGAGTGCTCTCGTGCACTACTCGCTTAACTTCGGAGTTCCCATGGAACCCGAAGCCAGTGAGCTCCCAAAAGGCCTCGCGCTGGGTTTTGTTTCTGGGAACTCACACGAGAACTTCCCGATGGGTCACCCATCCTAGGAGTGCTCTCGTGCACTACTCGCTTAACTTCGGAGTTCCCATGGAACCCGAAGCCAGTGAGCTCCCAAAAGGCCTCGCGCTAGGTATGATGGGAATATACATTTAAGGATCACCCCTGGGCAATGTGGGATGTCACAATCCACCCCCCTTAGGGGCCCGACGTCCTCGTCGGCACATTCGCGACCAGGGTTAGGCTTTGATACCAATGTCACATCCCGGCCCGGGTGGCACCACTTCCCGGGCCCGCTCCACCACCGTAGCACGATATTGTCCGCTTTGGGCCCCGACCACGCCTTCACGGTTTAGTTTCTGGGAACTCACACGAGAACTTCCCGATGGGTCACCCATCCTAGGAATGCTCTCGTGCACTACTCGCTTAACTTCGGAGTTCCCATGGAACCCGAAGCCAGTGAGCTCCCAAAAGGCCTCGTGCTAGGTAGGATGAGAATATACATTTAAGGATCACCCATGGGCAATGTGGGATGTCACATTTACCTTCTACACATTTTTATTAATTTTTTATAATCTATCTTCTTTAATTTATTTAATTTATTAAAAATTAAAAAAGAAAGACGAGAAGCAAAAATAAATTTATTGAAAACTAAAAGGGATTTGTGATCGAAATCATGATGGAAGATGAAGTGATAGGATGAGATAGGGTTGAATAGTCACCAGTACTAAGCCCTGACAAAAATCCATGGAAGACCAATACATGTTGGGAACAGATCCCCTCCCAAGGAGCTTAAGAGCAACTCCATCGTGGTGGATTGCTCGGGGGACAGGCCAAAGAAAAGGGCCCGAGGCCTTGTGAATTCACACTAGCGTGAAAGAGCTCGAGTGGAGGTGGAGGCCTAAGCTTCGGGCTTGTGAAGAATTGCCAGCCCGAGTGGATGTGACGTCAGGGTTGACGTCAAGCTCTTTTTTTATTTTTTTCTGTCAGGCGCATGCACCCCACTCGTGCCTGGGGGCACGTCACCTAACATAATTTCAGAAAAAGCAGCCAACTTTTCTTATTGAAATGTTACCGTTGGGAAGCCACGTGGCTTCCCACAATCAGTTCGATCTCAACGGCTCTTTAACTTAGACTGTTCGATCTCAACGGTAAAAAAAATAAAAAAAAATCTTATTTAATATCAACTGTTCGATCTGAGATCAACGGTCCATATTAATATTCTTTATAAATAAATAAATAAAAGAAAAAATAGTTTTAAAATTAAGAAAAGTTACCGTTGTGACACGTGGCACAATTTGTAGTGTTGGAATTCAAATTTTTTTTATATCCAACGGCGGATATTAATTAGTTGAATAAAAATTTTAAAAAAATTATAAAAAATCTGAAAAAAAAAATCTGAAATTTTTTTTAAAAAAATTGTTTTTACTTTTCTATAAAACCTTCTCATTATCATCTACCTTACACCACAATTTCATATTTTCTCAACTACTTTCAATCACATTCCTATCTTTCTCTCAAAGTTTCAATCCAATTTTTTTCAACAAAATGACTACTGATGCAGGTGGTGCAACGAGAACGATTAAAAATCTTATCCGAAATTACAAATAAAATTATTTTGTATTATTTAATAATTTTTCCGATAATGACATGTGGCGCAACGAGAACGATTAAAAATCTTATCCGAAATTACAATTAAAATTATTTTGTATTATTTTATAAATAAAAAAATACTAATATTTTATTGCCTATTGCCAGGGCTATTGGTGCAACGATAGAGATGCAAAAAGCGAATACTGTTCGCTGGGTGGATAGCATAGTGTATTGCTTGGGGGAGGTTTCACACGGTGGAGTTGCTCTAAAAGGCTGAGCCTCCTGAGCAAATCATACGGACTGTTGGATTTTGATTCAACAGTTACAAAAAAAGATTTCTCTAAAAGTTATAATAATTGTAATCACTTAATCAAAATTCAATAATTTGTGTAATTTGCTTAGGAGGCTCAGCCTCTTAAATTCAGGAGGAGATCCGT